CCGTGCAGCCAATCCCCGACGTCGGCCGTCGCCGTACACACACGGGGGCTTACGGCCGTCAATCTCCAACACACGAATTAGCAGCGTCAGCATCGGCGTCAGCAGCAGCGGCAGCAGCAGCGGCAGCAGCAGCGGCAGCAGCAGCGGCAGCAGCAACGTCAGCCTCGGCATCATTAGCAGCGGCATCAGCAGCGTCGGCATCAGCAGCATCAGCATCGGCATCAGCAACGTCAGTATCGGCATCAGCAGCGGCAGCATCAGCAGCGTCATCATCAACAGCAGCATCAGCAGCATCAGCAGCAGCGTCAACATCAGCAGCAGCGGCATCATCATCAACAGCAGCATCAGCATCAGCAGCATCAGCAGCATCAGCAGCAGCGGCATCATCAACAGCAGCATCAGCATCAGCAGCATCAGCAGCAGCGGCATCATCAACAGCAGCATCAGCAGCAGCAGCATCAGCAGCAGCGGCATCATCATCAACAGCAGCATCAGCAGCATCAGCAGCATCAGCAGCATCAGCAGCAGCGGCATCATCATCAACAGCATCAGCATCAGTAGCAACAGCGGCGGTAGTAGTGCATATTCTCCCAAGCCCACACGCCCCCCCCCTCTGGCGGCAGGAGTGCATATTCCGACCCCCCCCCCGTCTGGCGGACAGTCGCGACACGAGATAAGAGTAGTCGGCGGGGGGTCCGACGCGCTGTAAGTCGAAGATTCACACCGTTAGAGGAGGACGTGGAGCAAATAATGCACAGAGTAGAGAGAGAGAGAGAGAGGAGAGAAGAGAGAAGGAGAGAGAGAGAGAGAGAGAGAGAGAGAGAGAGAGAGAGAGGGAGAAGAGGGAGAGTGAGAGAGAGAAAAGAGAAAGAGATCAAGAGAGAGGGAGAGAGAAAGAGAAAGAGAGCAGAGGGGGAGAACAGAAAGAGAAAGAGAGAGAGAAGAAAGAGAAAGAGAGAGACGAGAGAGAAAGAAAGAAAGAAGAGAGGGAGAGAGAGAAAGACGAGAGAAGGAAGAGAGAGAGAGAGAGCGGAGAAAAGAGAGAGAGAGAGAGAGAGAGAGAGAGAGAGAGAGAGAGAGAGAGGAGAGAGAGAGAGAGAGAGAGAGAGAGAGAGAGAAGAGAGAAGAGGAGAGAATGGTAGAGTGTGGGTTGATAGTAGTGGGACTGTGTCACCTTAAAGCTTCAGCGCGGTGGTAGTAGTAATGTTGAGACTTGGAGACAGTGGCGGTGGCGCGTTGTGTGTGCGTGTGCGGTGGCGATGGTTTGCGGTGCGTGCGTGTGTTGTGTCTGTGTTGTGGTGTGTGTGTGTGTGTTGTGTGTGTGTGTAATGTTTGTGTGTTGTGCAATGTGTGCGTGCGTGTGTGTACGTGCGTGTGTGTCGTGCGCGTGTGGTCCGTGCGTGTGTGCGTGGCGTGCGTGTACGCGCGTGCGTGTGATGGCGGGGAGTGCGGGCTACGCTAGGATGTACTGAACAGAATGTGATTCGATGGCCTCGAGGGCTTCATCATGATTGCTGCTCCGGTTTTCCCCGCCGCTACCGTCACTGCCGTCTTAATATCATTGCTGCGTTTTTGACGGGTTCACAGGAGCGGCCCGTAGATTGTACGCAGGAGTCTGTGTTTTTTGCTACGGACAGTAGTAATTAGCTCTGGAATATACAGTGGCTGCTCCGTGGTTTTGCAGCCATTTCGTGATTAGTCCGCGTTATTAATGCCGTTAATATTTTCAGTTAATAGGGCAGGAGGCGGCCGCGCGCGTTTTTACCACGCCGTAAGCCGCGGGCGGAATTGCAGACTAGGAGCGCGTAATGATCTCCAATACCTCGCCACTCCTCCCCTCATCCCTCCCTCCCTTCCGCCCCTATCCCACACACACACCAACGGCGATTTCTAAGCTTGTTTCCACATCGAGTGGCTTTACGAGAAACACGTGCGCATGTGTGTGTAGTAGGTAGCAGCTGCTGCTCGCTCGCTCTCCTTCATTGATGATATTTCAAATATTCGATGGCGTAATGCGGAATGCAGCGCCGTCGCAGGAAACGCGCGTCACGGGAAAAGTGTAGACTCGCTCATCACACGATGAGACAGGAAGAGCCCTGTCACGGGAAGTGACAGGGGGCGTTCGACACGAAAAGTGACAGGAAGCGTCCTTCATGGGAAGAGACAGAATGCGTCCTTCATGGGAAGAGACAGGAAGAGCCCTTCACGGGAAGAAACAGGAAGCGTCCTTCACGGGAAATGACAGGGGGCGTTCGACACGAGAAGTAACAAAAAGCGTTCGCTTACATGAGGAAGGACAGGAAGCCGTGTCGTCATTCACGGGAAGAGACAGGAAGCGTTCGTCACGGGAAGAGACAGGAAGCGTTCGTCACGGGAAGAGACAGGAAGCGTTTGTCATGGGAAGTGGCAGGAAGAGCCCTTCACGGGAAGAGACAGGAAGCGTTCGTCACGGGAAAGCCGAAGCGTTCGACACGGCGAAGTGACAGGGGGCGGTTCGCTCACGGGAATAAAATAAGTGAGCAGGAAGGCGTTAGTCAGGGAGATCAGAAAAGCGTTTGTCATGGGACAGTGGCAGGAAGCCGTTATCACGGGGGGAAAAGACAGGAACGGGGGGGGTTTGCCATGGGAAAGTGGCAGAGAGAGCCGCTCACAGGGAAGAGACAGGGACGTTCGTCGGATGACGAGAAAAGACAGGAAGGTCGTTTCGTTCACGGGAAGATACGGAAGCGTTCGCAACGGGAAAAATACCCAAGCAAGCGTTCCTCACGCTCGATGACAGGAATCTTCATTGAGCCGGGATATGCTAGCATCGGCTTTTCTCTAGCGCGTGATCGACCGTGACTCACTTGGGGCAAACTCACCGCCACCCTCGTCTCATGCTCTGTCTCGTTAGCGTCTTCAATCGTACACACGAGGACAATGTCGTGATCGGCTATAGGAGAGAGCACGCCTGTCGCGGGATTTCATTATTTAGTGCTGCTCAGCTTTGCGGTGTGCCTTTCAAAGCACGGTGTTGCTGCGGCGCATGTCAGCGTCCTTCTGTCTCGTTCTTTTCTATCTCTTTCCCTCTTCTCTCCTGTTTCTCTCCCTGCATCGCGCTCTCCTTCCTCAGCTGTCTCTCTCTCTCTACTGGTTCTGTCTCTGCTTTCTTTCTTATTCTCATCTGCTCTCTCTCTTTCTATCTCGTTTCCTCTCTTCAGGCACATCTTCTCTTCTCATCTCGCCCGCGCTCTCTCTCTTTCTCTTCTCTCTTCGCCGTCTCTCATTCTCTTATCTCTTCTCTCTCTCAACACAGCGCTTTACTCTGTCTCTTTCTCTTTCTCCTATCTATCTATCTTTCTAAGTCTATCTAATCTACTATCTAATCTATCTATCTATCTTAATCTATCGTATCTATCTATGACGTATCTACTCTACCTATCCTATCTATCTATCTATCTAGTCTTTCCTATCTTATCTATCTAATCTATCTAATCTATCTATCTATTTATGCTATCTAATATGTGTCTATCTAACATTTATCTATCTAAATCTAGTTTACTATCTATGTGTCTATCTATCCCTCTATCTATTCTATCTATCTATCTATGCTATCTAATCTATCTATGCTATCTATCTATCTATCTATACATCTATCTATCTATCTATCTTCTATCTACTATCTATCTATCTTTCATCTATCTATCTATCTATCTAATCTATCTTCTATCTATCTATCTTATCTATCTATCTTTCTATCTTATCATCTATAAATATCTTCTATCTATCTATCGTATCTAGCTATTTATCTATCTATGTTCCTATCTATCCTACTGATCTATCTATCTATCTATTCTTTGCTATGCTATCTAACCTATCTATCTACTATTCTATCTATCTATCCTATGCTTTGCTATCTATCTACCTATTATCGTATCTATTCATCTATCTGTCAAACTATCACATTCAATCGCGGCGCGCGCACAACACCACACAAACACAAGCACGCACGACACCACACACACACACACACACAACACACACATGCACACAGCACACACACACACACACACACCACACGCACGCACCCAAGACGACGCAACGCACTGCCACAAGCACCGCTGCGGCTTTCCTCGCGCGCCCGACACCTCTGCGATTCGCGCAGCTTTGCGTGACTCGTGAGGTAGTAAGTCTGAGGTAGTTGTGGTCTGAGTAATAATACACTTCCTGAGCGCGGATCCGCGTCGCCGCAGTGTGTACTGTTCATTGCGCATTTATAAAGCTGCACTCCCCTTCCACCCTTCCCACGCGCGCCTCTCTAATGAATTCGAATCTCGTCGCAAATTCGACGCCTCGCGCGCGTGTCGCAGCGCGCGCATGAAACATCGCGAAGACGGGACACAGCCGGAGATGAGAGAGAGAGAGAGAGTAGAGAGAGAAGAGAAGGGGAGAGAGGGCGAGAGAGAGAGAGAGAGAACGAGAGAGAGAGAAAGCGAGAAGAGAAGAGATAGANGAGAGAGAGAGAGCGCGAGAGAGCGAGTGTGCGAGTGTGCGCGTGTGTGCGTGTGTATATAGCAGTAATCGATCCCATTCAGCATCAAACGCGCCTGCTCATGCGATGAAGCCCTGCCTCCCCCCTCCTCCTCCTCCACCTCCTCCTCCTGCTCAGCTCAACACGCCATTGTGTACCCGAGAGTACTGCATTTGTGCGACTAGCGAGGGCATCTGAACCGCGATGCCGATCTGACCCGCGATGCCGAGGGAGTCTTTCCCTGCAGAAGGGTTAATTAACCGAGTTCTGTCCCGTGCCACACTAGCACACACACACACANACTCTCTCTCTCTCGCGCGCGCGCTCTCTCTCTCTCGCGCGCGCGCTCTCTCTCCCTCTCTCTTTCGCGCGCGCGCTCGCTCTCTCTCTCTCGCGCGCTCTCTCTCTCGTGCTCTCTCTTTTTCCCGACTGGTGGTTACTGAGCAAGGCAGAGAAGCTAAAGCTGGGCTGCAATCAGGAGCAATTGATGATGGCATTGGACGGCCACTTCGTGCTGCGCTTCGACTTCCAGGCAGATCATGGAGTAGGCGTCAGCGGATTCCTCAAGACAGAGCTCAGTGTTCGCCACAACGTGACGTTTGACAACGAGAAGATTCTCGCATACGACACGATATGGGCGGCCGCGCTGGGACTTGACGGTGCACAGCGTATTTTACAGGGTATGAATAGAGAGAGAGAGAGAGAGTGTGTGTGTGTGTGTGTGTGCGTGCGTTGCGTGCGCGTGTGCGTGTGTGCGTGTGTGTGTGTGTGTGTGTGTGTGTGTGCGTGCGTGTGTGCGTGTGTGCGTGCGTGCGTGCGTGCGTGCGTGCGTGCGTGCGTGTGTGTGTTTGTGCGTGCGCGCGCGTGTGTGTTTGTGCGTGCGTGCGCGCGCGTGTGTATCTGTGCGCACGCGTGTATGTGTGCGTGTGTGTGCGCGTGTTTATGCGCGCGTGTGAGCGTTGTGTGTTGTATGTGCATGGCTTGGCGGCAATGATGCGCGCATATAACTGGCGCTTTCCTCTTGTTCTCGTAATACAGGCTTACCAAGAAGGGCTTTACGGTTCAAAATATGTATGGGTGGTGCCAGGCTGGTACACCACACACACACACACACACACACACACACACACACACACACACACACACGATCGAGCGATTGTCGGTGTCGGTGTTTATTGATCAGATGCGCCTGTTTTCCCTGATGCGTGCAGCGGGTGCTTTGGCTCGCCGCTGCGCATGCGCATCCGTGTGTGTGACGTCATCAGTGTCATGAGTGTCATACTATAGAGTATATAATATATATATATATATATATATATATTACTCTATTATGTTATGACACTTCTAACGCTCTCTGCGCCCGCTGTGGTTAGAGCGTAGTTAGTACTTTAAGCGAGTTAAACAGTAAAACTTAGATAGTTAGATAGTAGACATTAAACAGTAGATTTACAACAATCTCGTATATGGCTAGATGACAGTTAACCTGAAAGTACTGTGAGAGAGAGAGGACTGAAACTAGCCGTGCGTGCGTGTGGCGAGAACCCTGCCTGCACCGAGTAACTCACGGCCCACAGATATCTTCAGTATAATAGTAGTATATAGTATATAGTATATATATATATATATATATATAATATACACATATATATATATGTGCGATAAACGATCACATGCAGCACTTTACTGCACACGCATGAACGCGCCGGTTAAAAGCTATACTGCCGATCGCGTGCGTACATGCGCCTGCGTGCGCTTGTGTTCGTGCGCTTGTGCGTGTGCGTGCGCTTGTGTGCGTGCGTGCGCACACACTCATCGCACGGTTCGTCGACATGTACGCGGAGATATTTGGCAGCAAGGCCGTACGGTGACTGAACTGTCGAGGTGCGCTATATCTCTCTCGCTCCTACTCTCAGAAAACTATACGGTCGCACACTCTCCCAGTCGAGCTGCGATCGTACGATATCTCTTGCTCCTACTTGCGCGTCCGTTTAGAGAAGTATACGGTCGCGAGAAGTATACAATTCCGAGTCGATCGGAGCTGCGAGAGTGAGAGCGTGTGTTGGTGTTTTAACCGCACGGAGAGAGAGAAAGCGTCGCACGAGTGACTGACTGGTGCTGGTCTCGTGCTGGACTCACCAGCAGTCTGGTGCTGGACTCACCAGCAGTCTGGTGCTGGACTCACCAGCAGTCTGGAGCTGGACTCACCAGCAGTCTGGTGCTGGGATCGGATTGCACTACGCGTGTGTGCGCGCAGTGATATGGTGTGTGTATAGTACGCACGCCACGCATAGCATCGCATCGCATCGCATCGCATTGGATATAAGTGGGGAGGAGGATAAGGAGGATAAAGTTTGAGGCATGTGAAGAATATGGGGAGGAGGACGGAGATGAAGAGGAAGACGAGGATGATAATATGGATTAAGATAAGAAGCGGAAAAAACGAAAAAGAGGTGAAATACGAGAATGAGAAGAAATAGGAAGAAGACCCATGATGCACGTCGTCATAGCAACCGACGTCTGCGGCGTCGCGAAAGCAGGAAACAGGGGGCATACAGGAATCAGAGGTGCCCACGTCACACCATAAACGTCCTTTCGCGCACATAAATCCCCCTCCGACGAATTAAATTAATTACCTAATGAATAATGCATCGAGAAAGCATTTTCCCCGCGATTTGCATAGCCAGGCGCGGGGGTCAATCAGGTAATTGCGCCGATGCTGTTGGTCTTGTTTTAACGCACCTGGGACCTGCCGCCGACGGCTCCTCAATACACACAAACAAACGCCTCACAGGATGTTTGCTGAAAGAGGGGAGGGGATGCAGGGGGCGCGTGACTGCAGCAGGGATGCTCCTGCCACACTGCACACAATGGCTTCAGATTTTCGTTCTGTCACGCGTGGTCGTTAGCGCGTGAGCGTGCTCAGGTAATCATGGCGTATGGATGGTCGTGGTATCATTGTGTGTTTGCGTGTGGTGTGTGTGCTGTGTGTGTTGGTGTGTGTGTGTTGTGTGTGTGTCGTGTGCGCGCGCGCGTGCGCCGTGGCGTGTGTGTGTGTGTGTTGTGGTGTGTGTACGTACGTGGCTGTGTGTGTGTGCGCGTGCGTGCGTGCGCGTGGCGTGTGTGTGTGCGCGCGTGCGGTGTGTGTGTGGTGGGTGTGTCTGTGTGTGTATGGCGCGCAGCGCGTGGTTGTGTGTGTGTTGCGTGTGTGTGTGGTGTGTGTGTGTGTGTGTGTGTGTGTGTGTGCGTGTGCGTAAAGCTTGTGTGTGCATGTGTGTGCGTGGGTGCGGGTGTGCGCGGCAGTGAGCGGTTTCACGGATTCACGGTACACGGGCGCGTGAAACCTGGACAGGCTTCACGGAAGTAAGATCACCTCATTTATTAAACGAAGTGTAGGCCAGCGTCTGATTAACCTTGCAGCTTCACAGCGTAGAAACACCAACTGTCCGTACCACGATATTAACTAGGTCAGTAAGTCGCTGATCGGCTCGTTTTGATTAAAGCTTTGGCCACGCATACTGCTGGATGAAATCCACTTCTTAAAACCAAGAGCAAATCGGAAGAATGCAAACCTCCGCCACAGCTTAACAGTCCGCCCCCATTCTTGCTGGTGACCAAAAAATCCTAGGATGGCCAGAGGCTGGATCGCGGATCGCTAGCGCAAAAATCTAATCAAATTGGTTGCTTGGCCAAGACCTAACCCGTCCAAAAAATTTTCATCAAATCCGTCAGTAAACTTTTTGAGCCTATCCTGTTGAACAGACAAACCAACAAACAAAACTAACAGGGGCGAAGACAGCATACCTCTTTGGCGGAGGTAATCACTATCCGTTCTAAAACGCACTCCCGCTATACGCTATGGACAGCGCCCCCTACACACGCATAGAATCAACAATCATGAAAATTTCAAAACGCAAGCGCCCGCTTGAAATCGCGGCTCGGGCAAGTTTTAATATTTTTTTCAGATTTGGGATGAAGCAAAACAAAGCGTCACCGCTTTACTGGTGAAAGGCAATTAGAATTTGAACAGGTTTAGCATGCTGCGCTAGCAACAACTGCACACACGTCAGAGTGGCGCGTGTATATACCGCATAAATGTTTTCGTTCGAATAGCGCCCGATCCCACGTAATAGCAGTTTTACTAACACCCACGACAAATAAAACATTTCCGCTCCGAAAATAGGCGCACCCTGCTCGCTTCTTAATCAAAGGCGTTTTGTAAAAATAATTACAGCAACAGCTGACATCTGTCACGTACCCAGCGAGGATGCGAGCGTATTCATCCGCGGTCAGCCTCCGCATCCCTTAGGATCAGCATCCCTTAGGATCAGCATCCCTTAGGATCAGCATCGCTTAGGATCAGCATCCCTTAGGATCAGCATCCCTTAGGATCAGCATCGCTTAGGATCAGCATCCCCTTAAGGATGCAGGCAATCCTTAGGATCCAGCATCCCTTAGCGAGTCAGCATCCTTAGGATTCAGCATCGCTTAGGATCAGCATCCCTTAGAATCAGCATCCCTTAGGATCAGCATCCCTTAGAATCAGCATCGCTTAGGATCAGCAGCAGCACCAGCCTCCCTGAGGCACTGATCACGAGGCGACACGCAGTATTGAGGATGATGCAACCATCATCTCACACTCGCTCACTCTTATCACTCTTAACATCTCTCACTCACTTCCTCTCTCCTCCTCTCCAGCGTACTCTCTTTCTGTTTCTCTCTCTCTCTCCTCTCTCTCTCTCTGACTCTCCTCCTCTCTCTCTCTCTCTCTCTCTTCCTCTCTCTATCTATCTATCTATCTATTCTAATCATGTTATGCTATCTATCTATGTCTATCTATGCTATCTATTTTTCTATCTATCTATCTATTTATCTTCTTCCGTGTGTCTTCCCTCCGCCTCTCTCTCTTTCTCTCTCCGTCTCTCTCTCTCCCCTCTCTCTCTTGCTCTCTCTCTCTCATGTCTCTCTCCGCTCCTGTCCTCCTCTCCTCCTCTCTCTCTCTCTTCTCTATCTAATCAATTCTAGCGTCTTTCCTCATTCTATCTCTCTCCGTGTCTTCCTCTCTGTCTCTCTCGCCCTCCCTCTCCCTCCAATTCTCGCTCACACACACATGCAGCTCCCCTATCTTTTCCCCCACAGACCCCACCCCATCCTCTCTCGCTCTCTCTCATCTCGTTCGCTCGCTCTCGCTGGGTAACTGAATCCCGGCTGGCAGCGTTCCAAGCCGCGCTCTCATTGAGGTCGTTACAGTTAAGCGGCACAGCTGCCAGATAGTAGCAGCCGTAGTAACAGCAGCAGCAGCAGCAGCAGCAGCATCAGTAGTAGTGATAGTAGTGAGTAGTAGTAGTAGTAGTAGTAGTAGTAGTAGTTGTCGCAGCAGCAGCAGCAGCAGCAGCAGCACAGCGCAGCAGCAGCAGCGTAGTAGTAGTAGTAGTAGTAGTAGTAGTATAGTAGTAGTAGTAGCAGGCAGGCAGCAGCAAGTAGTAGTAGTAGTAGTAGTAATGTAGTAGTAGTAGTAGCAGCCGTAGTAACAGGCAGCAGCAGGAGCACAGTAAGTAGTAGTAGTACGTAGCCGTAGTAACAGCAGCAGCAGCCCAGCAGGGCAGCAGTTAAGTAGTAGATAGCGTAGGCAGGCAGCAAGCAGCAGCAGCAGGGCAGCAGTAGGCAGTAGTAAGGCGAAGCA